TAATGCCAAATCCAAACTTGAAATGGGGTCTAACTCAAATGGAAGGTTTCGTACATGACAATGCTAGAAACTTTGTGAACCTAGATCCCAAGGAGGGTTCAGATCTGAAGTTGCAACTTCAGATCCAGCTCATACTCAACAATAGCTTCATAACCAAGCCAAAAAGCCCTAAACTTCATCCAAAGAGATCTAGAAAGAAATGAGGCCAAGATCATGAATTGATACCTCCAATGAAGCTAACTGAGATAGATTTTGTAGATCCACACGAGTCCCTTGCTGCTAGCTACTTGACCTTCAAGCTTCCTTCACAAGTTCCATCTTCCAAAGCTCAAAAACACAATCAAATGAAGCTCTCACACGAAATAGGGTTTGCTGGACTCTCTAGAGGCTGTAAGGGACTAAGGGAGGCTAATGATTTCCTTAAATAGGATGCAAAACCCCGGAAATTAGGGTTTCACCCTCTAGCTCCAACTCGTTGAGTCACTCTTCCGACTCGGCGCGTTGGTCACTTAAACACGTGGCCCCAAACCCGCAGCTACTCGACGAGTCAGGGCATCCAACTCGTCGAGTAGACCTTGAAACTTGAAAATTAAAGTCATAATATTAATACCTGAGAATCAGAGCGTTACATTTATATACGTTTTTACGCACGAGTTGGATCATATATGATAACTTTCATTTGTTAACTTTAAAAAAGTTAATTTTTTTACATGCGTATTTTTATGTATGTGTCGGTATAAATTCAAGGTGGTCAATGTTTTGACGTATTTGACGTAAATTTAGAACTTTCGTTTATTATTTAAAAAAAACTTATTTGCTTTTTTTATGTACGTGTCGGTATAAATTCGAGTTCGTCTACGTTTCAAAGTTATATTATTATTTTTTTTATTTGTTTAATGTTTTGTGCTTTTTCTTATATATGAAAACATAAGTATGAAAACATAAAAAAATAAAAATAAACGACCTATGACTAACGGTCAATTCTCTTTAAATTTAGTTCATCCTTTAAAACTTCAAATCTATAAATAAATGTCCATAACGAGGGGGTGTTTGGGATTGCTTAAAAAATGACTTTTTGACTTTTGGCTTTTCCAAAAAGTCAAAAATTTTAAAAGATGTTTGGTATTTGCAAAAAAAAAACTTTTGAAAATAACTTTTTGACATGAAGGAATTAGGGGTTTTCCAAAAGTCAAGAAATCATGACTTTTTGTGACTTTTTCCTTCTTGCAAGGTAAATTACCTTTAAAAGTCAAAAAATATTTGGCAAACACTTTTTAAAACTAACTTTTGACTTTTACTCCCTTAACATGACAAAAATAAACAAGTTAAATGAATTTTATAATGGGTTAGAGTAAAAATATATAACTTTTTTGTATATGTTTAGTTAGTTACCATGCAAACTCATTTTCTTCTATAGTGAAAAAAAATTATAGTTTTAGTTAGTTAACTTGTATTTTTTTATTTTTATTTTTATTTTTTTGTTATGTTTCCATACTTGTTTTTTGTATGTGTTTATTTTTTTTTCATACATAAAATAAGAATGAAAATATAAAAAGAATATGTTGAAACGTAGACGAACTTGAATCTATACTGATACATACATAAAAAAACAAATATTTTTTTTAAATCAATGAACAAAAGTTCTAATTTTACGTCGAATCGTCAAAACGTTGACCATCTTGAATTTATACCGATACATACATAAAAATAAACACGTAATTTTTTTAAGTTGACAAACGGAAATTATTATATGTGAACTGACTCATACATAGAAAACGTATATAAAATTAAACACGAATTGTAAAGAAATAACGTCAAAACATAGACAAACTTGAACTTAAACTGTTAGGAACATAGAAAAACAAGCAAGTTTATTATTATTATTATTAAATTAACGAAGGGAAGTTTTGAATTCACTTCGATATGTTGACCACATTTTAGTTTATAACGATAT